CCACTGAAAGCATTTAGGTCATGCTCTTCCAGAAGCAATGGCAGCTGGTGTGAATTTATAAAGAATAAGGTGCAGTTCTGGAGTTAAATTGATGAGATTAGTACAACTGCATCGGGAGTAAGGACTTTAGTCTGAGGTAACAGTGGGTCTGAGTCAAGTTATCAGGTGAAAACCTCCTGTGTATTTGCCAAGGTCTTCCATACAGCCTCTAATTTAATATTTAATTTTTTTCCCTGTAACTCACAGAGCAGAAAAACCCCTCCTGCCAGAAGGAACTGCTGGATCTCAACACTGAGATGTCTGTGCCACTGTCCCCAAAAGCACAACAACAGGGCAGTGACATGCTGTGCGGGAGCAAAGAGAGGTAGTTTGGTGGTTGAGCCAACGGTCAGCATCATTGCTGGTATCACTCAAATATTTATTATTTATCACTCACAGGTACTGCCAGCCCCACACCTTCAGCACTGCACAAAGACCAGCTCATGGTCTCTCTCCCAAGGGTCCAATCTCAGAGGCTGAGCCTGAGCCAGGAGTTGCCATCACCTACATTATGACCACTCACCCACATTACACTCTGCCTTCTGCCTCCCTCCCATTTACAGCAGTTAAGGACCACAGTGGGTTTTGTTTGGGTTTTTTTCCCCCTTATTTGCTGATACAGCCACCAGCAGACTTGCCCAGTAAAAAATATTTGAATGTGACTGATGGATAGAAAAAAAACATTGTCTACATGACCCTGAGGCTGCAACACAACAGTGGTGGGGACGGAAGAGCTTGTGGACAAGCCTGCTTTTATGCTCATCTTAACAGGTATGTCCCTGCTTTGACCCACTTCTTTCAGAAACTGAATAATAAAATCATTTTCATCAAGAGAGAAAACTGGAGCAGAATAGGAGACCAGAGGTATTTTGACAGTCTATTTCTTTCTCTTTGGAGAGTAACCAATTTTCAGATGAGTGTGAGGGCATGCAGGGAACCTGCTCAGCAGATAACACAGCAAATCCCTGCTAAAGCTGGTTACCAACACAGCTGTCATTGATCATTGCTGTGGATTTCACCCCCTGCCAGCCAAGCTCCCTCAGCTTCCTCAAGCCTTATCTTGGCAGCCTTTCGCACAGCTCTGGAATGGGGTGGGCTTCTGTCTCTTTTGGACTTATGGACTGAACAGCCAGAACCACTTTATCCACCTCAGAAGTCCCCCTACAAAGCAGCTCAGGTTGAAGACAAGTGAGGTTTCCCACTACCAGTCAGATTTCAATGGTTTCCAGAAGAATGGGGAGAAAGTCTTGCTATTGAGTACTGTCCTGTGAGTCCATAGCTGACAGGGAGGTACCGCCACCTCTGATCCGCCACCTCTCACCATCCACACAGGTCTCCACATCTCTTACTCTGGATTTGCTTTTCTTGTGTTCAATCATTAGAACTGTGCCTACTGAGATGAGTTTTCACACAGCATCCAAGATAGAGAAGTGGCTTTGGATTGAGTATCTCAAGCTGACCCAGTTTATATTAAACAGAATGGTAAAAAGCAAACAGATCTGTAATGAAACCTTTTTAATTTTTAAAGAGTCGATCTCGGGTGTGTCAGGGAAAACAATTATAATGCCAACAAGAACAAAGAGCTTGCAGAAGTACTGCAGAAAAGACTTTGAATGCACCTCATAAGTAAAAAAAAATAATCTGGATTCACCAAGGAAGGTGAGGAGATTAGAAGAGAAAGTCTCCTGACCAACCTCAATGAGTAATCACACCTAGAAAGATATTAGAGGGAAGTAAAACAGCGTCTCTGGTGCTGTTTTGGCATGAAGAAGAATACTGAAGCTGTGGCAGTGACAGGTTAGATAATACAGGTTATAGAAGGTGCAGAAAATGGAAATGAGCTTTTAAGTGGAAACAGTTCAAGAAGATGAATGCACTCAAGTCAGAAGGACAAGATATTCTTGATCCCAGAACAATGAAAGAATAGTTGCATGATCACAGCTGGCAATAGGGCTTTTGATAAAAATACCCATTAGAAAAGAGAGGAAGGAGGTGAAACCATGTGGCTGAAAAATATTAAAGATGAAGTCTGTAGCTGTTCCGCAAGGGCAAGGAAAGTGACCCATGTCAGATTTATCAACCTGCCCCTAGTATTATATAAGGCTTTCTGAAAACACTGGAAAATAAAAATAAGACTGGGAAATAAATTAAAAACAGGGCAGAGCAAAACAAGGGCTTGCAAAAGGCAGACTACTGTGTGGCTATCATACCAGAGTGAGATCTTGACTCAAAAGTAACATGAGACTGGAAGAAAATGAAGATATCTGGGACAGAGAATTTGTTCTTTGTTTACTCGCACAGCCTCAGACATCTGAGAGGTGGTAATGGAGCCATGGGCAGGCCATTCCTGAGTTCATGGCATGTTCTCCTGGGCCACCTACACTTTCTGCAATGCAGGTCCAGGTCCTTTGTATCCAGCTGCACCTTATCTCCATCACCTGCATTGATGCAGCGAGGAAGACACACAGCAGCAACTGTACGTCCTTCCTGTGAATCATTTCAGTCAGCTCCAATCACAGAAGCTCTTGGACACCTTTTAAGCATCTCAAGGCAGAGATTATCTGTGTACTCTCACTGCTTAACAGATGTTCTTGTAAGAGTGGTACCTACTGGAGAGGCACAGCCTGTATGTCCTGGGGAGCACTCCCACCCCACACAGTGAAGGAGGCTGCATCAACTTCTTTGTTTTCCTTTAGACAAGCATTGTACACACAAACTACACATAATTTTTCTTCCACATGCTAATACAAGTATGTGTATCCTGCATACATACCTTCTGTTGCACATCCTGTCCTCCAGACCACGGTGTACCACACACAGAGTTGTGCTGTTGTTACCCACCACCAATCCCCCATAGGAGCCTGCTCTGCAGCAGCACCACAAACCCAGTGTGGTGCACACCCACAGGAGATATCCCGCTCTCTGCTCCCATGAGCCTGAAAGGGACAGAGACCTGGAGACAGAGAGATTTCCCAGGTCCAAGAGCAAGACAGGGATGAGAAGGTGCTTCCAGGATACTGTTGCCAACTGCACTCTGCTCTGCGATTTTGCTAGAAGCCCTCTCCTTCCCACCTGGCTCCCTGCACTGAAACTCTGGATTTATCTTCATCACCAGGTATAAAGGCCATGGAGCCTTGCCACTCCACAGGGATGGAGAGGAAGAAACCAACTGAGAAGCTGCAGCAGCAAAATGGTTCCTCCGGAGAACTACTGCAGAAGAGGCTGTGCTGAGGATAACCCCCACCTCCATAAACCCCTCGAGGCTGCACACAGCACTGACTGTCTCGGGGAACACACTGAGAGGCTGGAGAATGACAACAGAAACAACACATTTACATTCCCTGACAATGACAACCCTGGATTTCCCCTCTGTGTGCTGTACCACTGGTCCCTGACCTAAGAACCTCTGTTCTCCAGCTCTGCAATGCCCCTGTCATCTGCCTCTTCTCTTCACAGTTCCTCTATAGCCCTGCCAAATATCTACCATTTTATCTACATTTTTCCTACCATGCTGTTGTCCCTGATAGGCCTAAAAATGCTTTATCTGAATTATTCTTGTGTAACTGGCAAATGGAAGAAAGGTTTTCTGACCAGGTAAGACCTGCCAAGCAAGTGGTATAAAAGGCTGTAGGTGTTTGGAAGTAAAAAAGAAGATTTATTCTTCCCTCGTACTCCATGCACCTTTATGACACCCATCAATCCACACCTTGTATGATACGTTCCTTCACAGCCACCGCTAACGTGACTCCCATTTACTCCACATTCCCCCCAAATACCTGCAATTGCAACCCCACATGCTCAGCATCTTCCATAACCCAGAAAGACTGAATCTGCTCTTTGATTATCGCCTTTTGTTATGACATTCCCGTTTGCACATTCCTCTACGGCCACGTCACTTTAGCACACACACTGAAATCTCGTTCTTTTATGCTTTCGCTTTATTGTTCTCACTGTCATCCTGAGCACTGCCTCTCCAGCATCTATATCCATATCCCACATACATCCTTCTCTTTGTTCAAGCCCTTCTCCCATATGCAGAGGCAATTTGATGGAAGGATTTGTGTAGAGGGTGGGGGAGGGAAGAAGAAGAAGGCGGGGAGGGAAAAGAGGGATTTGGCTATAACAAGACCATGTAATTAAGCTTTAGTAACTGGTACCCAGCCTGAACCCCTCATTTCAGTAATTAAAAGCAATAATTCCTCCATTCCTAGATAACCTTTCTCATCCGATCTGTGAAAAGAGGCAGGGACGAAGCATTCATTTACACAGCCAGCACAGACACACCCTGGCAACACAAAGGACTCCAGCCAGTACACAGCTCTTGTGTCTCTTAGCAGAAGAGCAGGGTTTTAGATGCCATAATATTTTATCCTAATGCCTTTTGAACATATCATTTACCAGTATTTAGGGTGAAAAAAGAACAAAAAAAAAAAGGATTAAAAAAAAAGCTGAAAACCACACTGACAGCAACCTTTCCTCTGTCTGAGCCCTTTGTCTCTGGCTTTTCATGGAAGTGCTGTCTGTCAAAACAGCTTTTGAGCTGCACAGCAGCATCACCACCAGGGATGCACAGAGAGCATGGTAGCTGGCAGGACCACAACAATCCGTGTGGGCTCGGCTGTCATGGCAGGCACAATGGAGAGCTGTGCAGCAGCACTGCCGGGGCGAAGCACGGCTCGCCTCTGCACAACCAGCCCTGGACATGACAACTGCTATTTCACAGCCACAATAGACAAACACACATTCTGCGCAGCAGCCCCAGCCTCCCCGCTCGCTCGCATCCATTATAATCACAGCAGCTCCAAAGCAGTGCAGCCTCCAAAGAGACAAATCAATCCTAAAATCCTTAATCGGGTAGCTGGCATCCTCTACAGAAACAAACCGGCCACAGTGCAAGACAACGACCGACCTGAAAACCAACAGCACAACTAACGCCCACCCCGATCATTTCTCCATCTCACCTTTCCGCAGATCCTTCGTTCCCCAGCTCCTGTCAGTGATCACACTCTGCTCTGGCACCGCTGAGCACTCCGATTCCAGAAGGCTCCGTGCTCTCCTCACCAGGATGCTGCGGGAAACAGAGAGTCAATTTTTTTTTCTTAATTTTTTTTTTCTTCACAGCTGCATCCCTGGCAATGCAGAGGGTCTGCGCAATCACATCTCCAACGCTCCTGCTGCTGCTGCTGCTGCTGCTGTGACGTGTCTGCATGTGAAGGAACAAGCATGCCCACAGCACCGCCGCTCCGGCTCACAATCAGTCCCTGTGGAACCTCAGACAAGGCAGGGGATGGGAGGGAGCAGAAAAGGAGAGGAGGGGAGGTGAGTCGAGCTGGATGATGGAGGATTGATTCTTACAGGAACTGGGAAATCAGGAAGGCAGTATGAGGAGAAATAAAAAGACTAAAGTCCGTGCCATAAAATAGAGCTGCAGCATCTTATTCTGTGATGAGCTTGTATTTTGGATAACGTGTGCTTGCAAGCTGTCTGATCTCTTACCCTGGCTATGTAAAGGAAAGCAAAAGGGACTGGAGTGTTATGTTCCTACCGTTGATAATGGCAGCTAGAACCCTTGGAAATAAAATGGCAGTCTGCAAAGTAACGCGCAGGAGGAGGAGGAGGATGGGAAGACTGCAAGAAGCTTCTTGAAGCTTCTTGAAATTCCTGTAGTGCCTCATCCTAAAGAGCTTCATCAACAGTATCTACAGAGCATCCCTGAAATGCAGCCACATCCGGAGCAAGAAGCAACGACCAGCACTTCCCCCAGTGCCGAAAGCACCTGGCAGGGGCAGGATGTCTGCAGTGCCTGCTCTCAAAGGGAATCTCAAATCAAGATCCCACTAACTATTAAGACTGCAGTCTGTGATCAAAGTGCTGCCCATGACCTGGGCTAAATCACAGCATCTCTGCAAAGCAATTCACTGCAAATCTCCCTCCCAGAAACAGGGGGTCACCACCTGCAAAGCTTGGACTCTCTTGCTATCCTGGGGCTACGTGAAAGGGTTTTTCCATCACCTCTTTTCACCAGAGGGGAAATGGAATCTGCTCCATAGGCAGAGCAGTGCGGGTCCTGACAGGGCACAGGTAGCTTTGGCAAGGGACATATGTGGCTACTTTTGGTGTTTCACCAGTTAGGGCATGATCACACACCCTAGAAACTCCGCTGTGCTTCAGGCTGTGCCAGGGGAGGTGTTTCTAGCACTGAAGCACCATCCATCCTGGAGGGACCACTCACGTTACTGCCCTTTCCCATCCAGCCCCGTGCCTATAGCCCTGCACGGACCCAAGCAGAGCTCAGAGACTGGAGCATCCACATTGGAAAAAGCAATCCCCATGAGCCCAAACCAAACCCCATCTCCTAAACTGAGTCTGCATGGGAAATGAGCAGGTAAGTCAAAGAAGGGGTAAAAATGTCACACAAAGTTCAGAGAAATTAATAACTGCCACATGGCTGAAAACTTTTTGCTTTAGGCCCTGATGCACCCAAAACAGGAACCAAGTAACACAAATACAACAGCCCCGACAACATAACACTTTTCAGAAGCTTCTACCTCTGGAGAGGTCAAAATAAACACCTATGCCAGAAAAATGTTAAGACTTATTACTGGAAGTGGCTGCCAATTCCTAGAACACTAGGAACTTTTAAAATATCTCTTCAGGTAACATTCAAATCAGACTTCTCACTGAAAACCCAGGGCAGCTCCCACCAGGGACTCCAGAGGCAAGAGTTTAGGACTTCCCCTCCAAGGGGGGGAGAGACCCTTCCACCAAGAAAACAGAAAGGGCCTTGAGCTGGCTGTGGGCTGTGCAGCCTGTTTGCAATGCACTGGAGCCAGAATCGCAGATGCAGCTCTGCTACTCACCTCCAAAACATGGGCAATGCTCCCTCAACCAGTTCCGGAGCTCAGGCTTCACAGCTCCTTCCCAAAAGGCCAATGTATCTGCCCCATTGGGGGTACTCCATGCTCCCCAGCCCACTGCCTGCTTTTCCTGGAATGCTGGGGACCCACACCACCACCTGGTCCTGTTCAAGCAGCAGGGACAAGCCCCAGGTAGGATGCAGGAGTGAGGGACATGCCTCTATGCCTGGCCATTACAGCAAGCAGAAAGCTAGTCCTGGCAGGCTCTGCTCCAACAGAGCTGCAGTAAATGAGACTATTTACTGTGCCCCCATTAGCGTGCAGCTCCAGGACCCCCGTTTGGCCAGCCCCATTGTACTGTCAGCGTTAATTAAGGCAGGCTCAAGCAGACATCTCCGGCCCCTTCAGATGAGACAGTCGGGGAGCAGCAGCGAGGAAGGAGACAGAGAGTTTCAGCTGTGGAGCTCTGTGCAGAACAAGGAGCATTTGTTACCCAGGAAACTCGTTCCCACAGCAGAGAGGAGAATGGAAACTATTTCAGTGCCCTCCCCAGTCCTCCACAAGCATTGCCAATGCTGATGCCAGGAGGTATAAATGCTGGCAGGCTGCGTACTTGCCTGCCTCCCTGTCCCTGCCACAGGACACTGGCATTAACCAGTTCACTGACAGCAATGCCTGCCTTGTGTAGCAGACACACACACCAGAACACATGAACTCAGGGGGATATTTTGTTAAAAATCGGAGAGAGCAATGCAGCAGACAAGGGGCTCTCTGACAAACACTCCTATTCACATATCTGCTCCCAACACAAGTATCCTCCTTCCCCAAACATGTTCTGCATGTTTCCCAAATCCCAAACTCACATGGCCTCGCCCCTCTGCAGCACATATCCCTCTGACGCATCTCCCTCCACAATCTGCCTCTCTCAGCAACAGCAGTAAGAACTGATGTCCTGTCCCAAAGCTTTGCAGGTAGCAGGAGATCTCAGAACTAATGAGGAAGAACAAAGCTCTTTCTTTGGGAGAATGTCTTCTAGGAGATGACTTCTCTTTGATCACGGAGATGAGTCAGTGCAAGAAGGGGAGCGTGGCTGATTCCACAGTCTCATGCAAGGAGGGAGCAGGGATAATGCAGGCTGGTGACTGTGCCAGCACAGTCCTCCTTGGAGAAGGAAGGGAAGGGAGATGGAGGTGCAAGGACACCTCTGCCCCGACAGTAACAAGGGTCCTCATCTTGCTCAAACTGGGCAGGCAGGGATAGTGCTTCCCAGACACCAGCACTCTGGGGCATAGCTTGGAGGGAAAAAATTCCTTATCAAGCAATGTCAGTCTCATTATCCACAAGCATCCCAAGTATCAGGCAGAATTTTTGCCATCTCATCTCCTTACCCCTTGCTCCAGGGTTTTGAGAACTGAATGCACAACACAATCTTCCAACTGTGCACTCCAGTAAGGCAGCACATCCTACTCCCTGTCACGGGCTGCAGCAAAACTCACCCCTTTGGGGGAGCCCCAGGTGCTGCACTTACACTGGACATGAGCTGTATGTGTACCCGGAGCACTTGCTGACAACAACAAGAACACAAATAGATCAACTAGGTGGAAAAAAGCCCAACACATTTGTGTCTTGGTATCAGGCTTCTTCCTTTATATACCATGCAGGAATTGGCTGCTGAGGTCAGCACATGCCCACATACAAGAAGGTAGAACCCTTTCCACTTTTGCTGCAATTGTGCAGCTAAATCATCCACCAGCTGCCCCAGCCTCCCACCTATTTGCTGCAAAGCTGCTCCAGCGATGTGTGAACTGGAAACAGCTCAGCCCCAGATCCCAGCCGGCTGCCTGGGCTGTAGCTCTGACACCAAGCACCCTGCTGGAACAGGTCTTTAATCACCCCTCACCATGAGGTGTGGGACACAATCCTGACTACCCTCACAGCTGCTGCCTCCAGCTCACCGCTACAGCCCAGCAAAGGGAGCTGTCTGCCACCTCCTCCGAAAGGATGGGTATTTTGACCAAGCTCTCATTACCTTCAGTGTGTCCATTCCTCTCAAGTAAACAGACAGTGGTATGAGTTACAGCAAGCTCTCCACCACAGCAGATAACCTCTGCATTGCTATCTGCAGGTGCAACAGCAGGAACATGCCTAGGGTGTAGATTCTGGCCTATCATGACCCCACCTGCAGCATGGCCACGGGACATCTTCACTCTTTCCCACGTGCTGGACTACTCATGAGCAAGGTGAAAGCAGCTCAGTGCCTTCCCACCTTGCTCACTCATTGCTCAAGGCAGAAATCTAAATTCCCAAGACACGGCAACCCCATCCATCACCACTGAGGCTGTTTTGGAAATGTCAGAGAGACGGATGTTGGTCAGAGTTGAACTAAGAGCACAACTGGAGCAAGGGGGACCAGAGTACAGAAGCCAACAGGAAAGGAGGAGATGATGAAACTTTATAAAATTCCTCATGAAGAAAAATCAAAACAATTTCCCATTCCTGCAAACTCTGTGCTTCAAGGTCAAACAACATCTCTCTAACACAGAGAAATCAATACAGGCTGATCGTTATCGGCATGTGCTTGACATTTTTTCTGTTCAGTGGGAACAAATACAGGGGCCTTTGAACAAGGGGTCAAAAATCCACGCAGATTGATAAAAGCACATGTTAGCATAGTGGAAATACCTGCCCTCAGCCCTCACATTTCCCCAGGGGGGTCACTAACCGATCCCCACTGAGCCTGCCTTCCAAGGGGATCTCAGGACAGAAGCACAAGAGTCTCTGGGGTTATGCTGGTTGCAAACACATTCACAGCATTAGGATTCACTAGCCCCTCATCATGACCCTGTGTCCCAGTGAGTCCTGCCCGCTGCCCAGAACAGCAGCACTGATTTCTTCAGGGTTAGCAATCCAGGGCAGGAGTCACACCTTCAAAGGAGAAAATGGCTTCAAAAGAGAAAGTTGTTGCTGTTTTTTTAAAAAAACTTGGACACTTCCTGTTGCTTGCTGTCTTCTAACAGAATTAATTCCCCAAATTCATCCCTCTGATGTTTAAGAACATTCTCTGAGTTTAGAGCTTATCTTTATCCATGCACAGCTTACCCCTATCCACTCGTGTTCCAAAAATGAGCTTTAACGTCAGCATTTATCCAGTCTGTGTTTAAAGTTACATCATCTGCGTTCTCTAATCATTTCACATTAGGCAGGCTCTCCA